AAAAGCCTGGTTACAGAAAAAGGAGAAGAGCAAAATCAACTCTTCAAGGAAAAGGATAAGAATATTTGGAAACATTTATGTAACACAGCTACAAGGCAACATGAGGCAAGATGTTAACAATGAGGGAAAACTGGATGAAGGATGTACGAGAACTCTTATCCTATTTTGCAACTTTCATTCCAAAATAAAAAGCTTATTTAAAAAAAAAAAAAAAAGAATATTTGGAAATATTTTATTATTGCATGCGAGTCCAGAGGACAAATGAGAGATTTAGAATGGAGAAAATGGGCTTTGGACTAGCAAGCCCTGAAGCAAAATGGGGCTGAAAATGTGAAAGATGGCAACTGTTTGGAGGTGTTGGAACTTCCGGTGGTTAATGCCATTCCTAGGGGAAGATATTAATAAAACTGGGGATCCAGAGGTAGTCAGAATCTTAGAACCCCAAAGCAAATTTGTTGAGGCTGCTGAGGAGTCAGGATAAGCTCTGGGAGAGGCATGATCAAAATTGTTTATTTTTTATTTGTTTTAGAGACAGGCTTTGTCAACCGGGCTGGCATGACCATAGCTCACTGGAGCACTGGACTCCTGGGCTTAAGGGATCCTCCCATCTCAGCCTCCTGAAGAACTGGGACTACAGGTGCACGCCACCAAGTCTGGCTTATTTTTTTCAATTTTTTTGTAGAGATGAGGTCTTCACTCTGCAAAACAGTTTACACACAAAGATTCCTTCCACTAGGAGCAGAACAATTCAGGAAATGGCAAAAGCTGGCACAGGACTGAAGCAATTCTCCTGCCTCAGCCTCCCAAGTAGCTGGGATTACAGGTGCCCGCCACCACACCTGGCTAATTTTTTTGTATTTTTAGTAGAGATGGGTTTTACCACATTGGCCAGACATAATGAGGACCTGAATCAAATGAAACCTTTTGGCCAGGTGCAGTGGCTCATGCCTGTAATCCCAGCACTTTGGGAGGCTGAGGTGGGAGGACCGCTTGAGCCCAGGAGTTCAAGACCAGCCTGGGCAAAATAGCAAGATCTCATTTCTACTAAAAATTTTTTTTTTTTTTTTGAGACGGAGTCTGGCTCTGTCGCCCAGGCTGGAGTGCAGTGGCCGGATCTCAGCTCACTGCAAGCTCCGCCTCCCGGGTTTACGCCATTCTCCTGGCTCAGCCTCCCGAGTAGCTGGGACTACAGGCGCCGCCCGCCACCATGCCCGGCTAGTTTTTTGTATTTTTTTTAGTAGAGATAGGGTTTCACCGTGTTAGCCAGGATGGTCTCAATCTCCTGACCTCGTGATCCGCCCGTCTCGGCCTCCCAAAGTGCTGGGATTACAGACTTGAGCCACCGCGCCCGGCCTCTACTAAAAATTTTTAACAATTAGCCAGGCGTGGTGGCACATGCCTGAAATCCCTGCTACTCTGGAGGCTGAGGCAGAGCAAGACCCTGTCTCCAAAAAAAAAAAAAAAAAAAAAAAGAATTCTTTTGATTCAGAGAACATTTATATTTAGACGAGCCAGTTTTATTCTAGATTTAAAATTAGATTTATTTTTCCTTTGACCTGGTTCTATGGAGTTTAATAAATACTACTTAAGTTCATAGTTCAGATAAAGAAACAAAGATCAAAACAAACTGTTATTTGACTTAGAATAGAGTTGTGATACTAGAAATTCAATGAAAATCGCCAGGAGGAGTGTCAGCTTAGTAATGGAAGAGATGGAAAAGGAATCAAGAGAGCCCCTGTGCTTGTAGTACACTGCTGTTTTACAAAATAGCCACAGTGGCTGGGCACAGTGGCTCACGCCTGTAATCCCAGCACTTTGAGACGCTGAGCGGAGTGGATCACCTGAGGTCAGGAGTTTGAGACCAGCCTGGCCAACATGGCAAAACTCCATCTCTACTAAAAATACAAAAAAATTAGCCAGATGCGATGTTGGGCGCCTGTAATCCCAGCTACTTGGGAGACTGAGGCAGGAGAATTGCTTGAACCCGGGAGGCAGAGGCTGCAGTGAGCCCAGACTGTGCCATTGCACTCCAGCCTGGGCAACAAGAATGAAATTCCGTCTCAAAAAAAGAAGAAAAGAAAATAGCCGGCCGGGCGTGGTGGCTCAAGCCTGTAATCCCAGCACTTTGGGAGGCCGAGACGGGCGGATCACGAGGTCAGGAGATCGAGACCATCCTGGCTAACACAGTGAAATCCCGTCTCTACTAAAAAATACAAAAAAAAAACTAGCCGGGCAAGGTGGCGGGCGCCTGTGGTCCCAGCTACTCGGGAGGCTGAGGCAGGAGAATGGCGAAAACCCGGGAGGCGGAGCTTGCAGTGAGCTGAGATCCAGCCACTGCACTCCAGCCTGGGCGACAGAGCGAGACCCCGTCTCAAAAAAAAAAAAAAAAAAAAAAAAAAGAAAATAGCCACAGTAGGTCAGGCATGGTGGCTCACGCCTATAATCTCAGCACTCTGAGAGGCTGAGACGGGCAGATCACTTGAGATAAAGAGTTCAAGACCAGCTCAGCCTGGCCAACATGGCGAAACCCCGTCTCTACTAAAAATACAAAAAAAAATTAGCTGGGTGTGGTGGCACATGCCGGTAATCCCAGCTACTCGGGAGGCTGAGGCAGGAGAATTGCTTGAATCCAGGAAGCAGAGATTGTGGTGAGCTGAGATCGCACGCCACTGTACTCCAGCCTGGGTGACAATGAGACTCCGTCTCAAAAAAAAAAAAAAAAAATTCCCCCGCAGTGGCTCACACCTGTAATCCCAGCACTTTGGGAGGCTTAGCAGGGTGGATCATGAGGTCAGGAGTTCAAGACCAGCCTGGCCAAGATGCTTAAACCCTGTCTCTACTAAAAATACAAAAATTAGCCAGGCGTGGTGGCACATGCCTATAATCCCAGCTATTCAGGATGCTAAGGCAGGAGGATCGCTTGAGCCTGGGAGGCAGAGGTTGCAGTGAGCTGAGATCGTGCCACTGCACTACAGCCTGGGCAACCAAAGTGAGACCCTCTCTCAGAAAAAGAAAATAGCCACAGCAGTATCTCTGGTGTCACATATTCTTTCAGACCCTTGCCACCCTTGGAGTAGGAGGTGGAATCAACTGCCCTCCCCTCAAAGCTGGGTGGGACTTTGTGACTCCCTGGATAAGTAGAATGCAGCAGACATGACACTGCATTACTTCCACTGTTAAAGCATAAAATGCAGCATGACTTCCACTGGCACTCTGTCTTGTGGAACGTTCAAGCTTTGAATCCAGCCAGCATGCTAGGAGGAGGCCCAGAGAGCCCATGTGGAAAGACCATACAACAAGGCCCACACGGAGAACTGGAGCCCACTGCTGTGCCTTGTCCAGTTCCTGATTGTGAACATTAAACTTGCTCATTTCATGCCACTGAGTTTCAGGGTAACTTGTTACATAGCCATCCATAACCAGTGTTCAAGTAATTTACAACCCAGTGGGAAGGATAAATAAGGATACAAATAACAAATATAAGGCAGCGTAGGGATGGAGCAGTGAGGGAAGAAGGGGAAAGGCTTCACAGCTAGGTCTTAGAAGACAGATCAAACTTCGAAGGAAAACAGTTACAACAATAACAAAAAGGAAAGTCTGGTAGAACTTGGTGACTCAGTAGCATAACATATGGACCTTGCCGGAGACAGACTTAAAAAAAAAACAACATAACCTCTAATAACTGAACAGTATTAAACTATTTTCAGGACGCTGTAGGAAACATTATTCTATAAAGAGACAAGGTAGAGCCTTAGAGACTGACTTCAATCATATGAAATTATTACATTTCTTGCTGCTTAGCCTCTATGCAAAGGTTAAGGTCTAACCCTGACCCTAAGAAATGAAAGGCACTTATCAGTGCTTCCTTTGATGTACTGGGCAAGGCAGAAATCAGTACCTTGCTTGCTCACTGTTCTAGACCCAGTATCAGCTTAATTACAGCAATCCTCCATGGTTAGCATTCTTTAGAGTTCGAGGGGTGATTTATAAGGAGGCATTTGTCTTGAACCAAAATGAAAAGAGCCAGCGCCTAATAAGTTATAAAAAGCTGAGTACACTCATAAGCTGCTTTAATTGCTGAAACTTATCCCCAACTTCCCTGATAAGGGCATGAAGATTATGTCTAGAGACATCAGGCTGACAACCTGAGAAATAATTATTACTTACTAAACCAAATGAAAGCATTTAGCTCTTTAGCTCTTTGAGCTGATCTGTACAAGCTGAAGCCTGAAAGGAGGAGCTCTGAGCTGCCTGCTCAGCAGCAGCTGTTTGGGAGACTCACCTTTGATGTGAGATCCCTCTCAACACATCAGACTTCCTGTAAAGTGTTCACATAGGTAATCCTTAAAAATCCCGAAACTTGGCCAGGCGCAGTGGCTCGCAGCTGTAATCCCAACACTTTGGGAGGCCCAGGCAGGCAGATTACCTGATGTCAGGAGTTCGAAACCAGCCTGGTCAACATGGTGAAACCCCATCTCTACTAAAAATACAGAAATGGACAGGCGTGGTGGCTCATGCCTGTAATCCCAGCACTTTGGGAGGCCGAGGCAGGCGGATCACAAGGTCAGGAGATCGAGACCATGATGAAACCCCATCTCTACTAAAAATACAAAAAATTAGCCAGGCGTGGTGGCAGGCGCCTGTAGTCCCAGCTACTCAGTAGGCTGAGGAAGGAGAATGGCATGAACCGGGGAGGCGGAGCTTGCAGTGAGCCGAGATCACGCCACTGCACTCCAGCCCGGGCGGCAGAGCGAGACTCCATCTCAAAAAAAATTACAGAAATTAGCTGAGTGTGCTGGTGCGCACCTGTAATCCCAGCTACTTGAGAGGCTGAGGCAGGAGAATCGCTTGAACCCAGGAGGCAGAGGTTGCAGTGAGCAGAGATCGCACCACTGCACTCCAGACTGGGCGACAAGAGTGAGACTCCATCTCAAAAAACAAACAAACAAAACAAACAAACAAAAAAACCCCAGAGACCTGAGAATTTCTGTTCTCCTCACCTCATAAAACTTTTTTAAGGAGCCCACGAGGCATAACTTCAGGCTGTCCACAATCTCCTGATGCGGCATCTGGAACACCACCCGGGAATACCATTTTGTGAGGGTGCTGGGGTCAGGGTGAGCAGAGAGACAGAGAGAGGAAGATGAACAAATGCTCAACGGGGACAGCCTATGGCTTGTGTCAGTAACACAGGTTTCTCTATGAATCAATCCAACAACAAATACCTAGAAAATGCATTTATGCTATATGTAAGAACAAGTAGTGATATGGGGAAAAGATATATTTAAGTCATAAGCAGAACATAGATATGTGTACTTGTGGCCGGGTGTGGTGGCTCACGCCTGTAATCTCAGCACTTTGGGAGGCCAAGGCAGACAGATCACGAGGTCAGGAGATCAAGACCATCCTGGCTAACATGGTGAAACCCCGTCTCTACTAAAAATACAAAAAAATTAGCCAGGCGTGCCGGCAGGCACCTGTAGTCCCACCTACTCAGGAGGCTGAGGCAGGAGAATGGCGTGAACCCAGGAGGCAGAGCTTGCAGTGAGCCGAGATCGCACCATTGCACTCCAGCCTGGGCGACAAAGCGAGAGACTCCGTCTCAAAAAAAAAAAAAAAAAAAAAGTGTAATTGTGGATATTTCCTACAAAACTGCTCCAACAGAAAAAATTTAACAACTTAAATATCCACCAAGAGAGGATTAAATAATGATACACAGAATAAATTCTGTGAAGCAGTTGAGTTGGTGGAGATTTATTTGTAATGGTATGGGAAAATGCACAGTTTAAGTGCATATTAAGCTAAGGAATAATGTGCCTAGAAATATCCCATTTGTGTAACTATATAGATGTATGTATGTGTATATATATCAGAGATATATATCACATGTGTTAATATATGCATAAAAGAGAATCTGAAAGTATATACACATCAAACCTTTGGCAGCTGTTAATATGAAAAGCTGGACCATGAGGAATTCTCACTTTCTAAATTTCTGCAGATATTTGGAATGAGCATGCCTTTTTTTACAATTGGAACAAACAATCAAAAAAATCTCATTTCTGGGGGAAAAAATGCCAACAACAACAACAACAGGGCAGCACAGCCCCAGCCTTGGAAGAGGCCGCTCTTCAGCTGGGAAGCACATTCACACCGGTGCCAAGTTTGTTAAATAAGCTGCATAGCCAGGTGCAGTGCTCATGCCTGTAATCCCAGCACTTTGGGAAACCGAGGCAGGTGGATCACTTGAGCCCAGGAGTTCGAGACCAGCCTGGGCAACATGGTGAAATCCTGTCTCTACGAAAACAAGCTGGGTATGGTGGCGCATGCTTGTGGTCCCAGCTACTCAGGAGGCTGAGGTGGGAGGATCACCAAAACCCAGGGAGGCTGAGGTTGCAGTGAGCTGTGATCATGCCACTGCACTCCAGCCTGCGTGACAGAGTAAAACCCAGTCTCAAAAACCAAAAAAAGTTGCATAAACAAATTTCACAGCCGGGCACGATGACTCACACCTGTAATCCCAGCACTTTGGGAGGCTGAGGCGGGCGGATCACCTGAGGTCAGGAGTTCAAGATCAGCCTGGCCAACATAGTGAAATGCTGTCCTACTAAAAATACAAAAATTAGCCTGGCATGGTGGTACGCACCTGTAATCCCAGCTACTAAGGAGGCTGAGGCAGGAGAATCACTTGAACCCAGAAGACGGAGGTTGCAGTGAGCTGAGACTGCGCCACTGCACTCCAGCCTGGGTGACAGAGGGAGACTCCATTTCCAAAAAAAAAAAAAAAAATTTTTTTTCACATGAAGATAGAGGAAGAAAATGTTTATAAATCTTTATACTATAATACATAAGACTAAAAAGATTTGCTGGATTTATAATAAGATTAGGCACTAAAACGAAATAATCAAACAAGATGGCACTGTGAGCAGTACTTACAGATTGATGCTTGCCACGAAGCCAACCACGGAGCGCATGCCTCTACTGGGGTCATGGTAAACATCCATCCCGATTACCATTAACTGTTTCTAGTTTAGAAAACAAAAACAAAAACCAAATCCCAGACCTGAGCAATGCATTGTTCCATTTTTAATTACTGTCTGAATCGCAAAGCAACTTCCCCTTACTATTTATACGTGAAAGTAAGTTCTGGGAAAGAAAAAAAAAAAGACAGCAATCAACTTGACATTTTTTAAACACAATAAGCACAGTCAGAGATCTAGACCAGGGATCAGCAAAGGACTAAAGGGTAAATAACTTAGGCTTTGGGAGCCTTATGATTTCTGTAGAAACCACAGGTTGAGTATTCCCAAACCTGAAAAGCTTTTGAGCACCAACATGACACTCAAAGAGTTTCAGATTTTGGAGTGTTTCAGATTGCAGATTTTTGAATTTGAGATGCAAGCAAATGTCCCATACCCCCAGAAATCTAAAATCCAAAATGCTTCTGGTCCCAAGCATTTCAGAAAAAGCATACTTGACCTTTATTCAATTCTTTCTGCTTAACACAAAAGCAGTCATGGACAGTATGAAAAGAAGTACGGCTGTATTCCAGTGGAATTTTATTTAAAGACACTGAAAATTAACTTCATATAGTTTTCATGTGTCATGGAATAATCATCTTAGTTTTATTTTTTTCGCCATTTAAAAACATAAAAACCAGGCTGGGCATGGTGGCTCACACCTGTAATCCCAGCATTTTGGGAGACTGAGGTGGGCAGATCACCAGGTCAGGAGTTTGAGACCAGCCTGGCCAACATGGTGAAATCCCATCTCTACTAAAAATACAAAAATTAGTTGGGTATGGTGGCGGGTGCCTGTAATCCCAGCTACTCGGGAGGCTGAGGCAGGAGAATTGCTTGAACCTGGGAGGTGGAGGTTGCAGTGAGCCGAGATCATGCCATTGCACTCCAGCTTGGGCAACAAGAACAAAACTCCGTCTCAAAAAAAAAAAACAAAAAACAAACAAACATAAAACGCATTCTTAGATAATTGGCTGAAGAGGCAGGGAGCCATTTAGACTACTGAGTAAGTGTTGAGAAGAGGAAGCATAATGAATAAGGAAAAACAAGAAAAAGGCTTGGAGGATTCTCTGGAGAGGCAAACTGAACCATTTTGGCATCACTCACCAGAGGAATATCCACTCCCCAGAGCTCACCACCCAATTTACAGTTAATCTGAAGTAAAATTTTCTGGGCCACACTCCGAAGCCTGGTGGGCTGACCAATGGTTCGAACATTGACAACCTATAATGAAGGGACCAAAAGGTGTCAGGAGAAGCAGGTCACTACCAAACCCTCAGAAAATCTGAACTCTAAAGTAAACATTACATTTGTTTAAGAAACTCAAGTTTAGAAGACAACATATTTCGCGTTAATAATTCTAATTCTAGGGTTTCTAGGCATGCATGCACATGGGCAAAATACAACCAACACACACACACACACACAAACACACAAACCCAAAACAAAACCAACAAATGAAAACTTTCAAAAGGATCTCATGCAGAGTGGAATGCTTTTTTAACTCCCATAGGAAAAATAGCTTTCCCCTTTCAGAATGAAGACTATACTCACTCTCAGAACTCAGTCACATGAAACCACCTGGTGACTCAACCTCGGAACAAGCGAAATTGCTCATTCGGAAGCATGAGGGCAGCTTATGAAGAGCAATCTGCTCTTTGCCAGGTTGCTCTAATCAGGAGAACCTTTCACCAGAAGGCTCTGCATGTACTGGCTTCTAACAGCTACTTTAGTCTTTGTGAACACACATATCACTCTTTTCAAGCCTCAGGAGAGGTGCCATCTGTGCCTCCTGCCCCAACACCCACTCACCTGGGAGGGCACTGGGGACTGCACACAGCACAGCTTCTTGATGGCCCCATAGAGATCATCACGTGTGCCCATGATGATGCAAACAACCATCTGTATTTTTCCCTTGAAGAGATAAGGTATATACAAGTCAGGCTCTGGAACTCTCTGGGGACTTTCACAGGATTCTAGTTGGCAGTATTCTGAGTACGCAAAGCCATAGGACCTTTAAGGAAGACAGGGAACTGAAATAAAGAGGGTGGACATTCCAACCAGAACAAGGTCCTTGGAGCTGAATTAGCATTCTTTGGCTCAGGGCTGTTCTGAATAGATAGGTAATATGTTACTATTAATTACCCAGAGCTGGCCCTGATTACCAAAAGATTTATCTATTAGGAGACTTGGATGGCTGGAAAAGGACTAGGTTTGAATGCATGGAAGGTTTACATTACTTGCTGCTTCCAACTCCATGTTTTTTACTACTCTCTTTGGTTTACTAAACAACTTGTTACATTCATGCCACAGAACTTTAACTGAGGAAACAGGGAATGCAATACTACAAGAAAGCATTCAGAACTAAATGCAAACTGGAAAGAAGCTATTGCCAAATGCATAAGCAGCCACTCCTAACTCTCTGGTGAAGAGACAGGATGATATTGTCAGCAGCACAGCACATGTCAATATCATCTATCCCTCACCGCTGAAGGGATCCAGTATTGAAAAAAGATGACCTTTCAAAGTCTGACTAAAGAAAAGCAGCATTCAAGCAAAGAAGATTGCCAACCCTTTATGCCAGAAACTGCTACAAATGGTAAATCAGTGGTACCCTGCTCCACATCAAGATTGGTGTGATGTTAAGACTGTTCAGAGGACACATTCAGCAATGACACCAAAGCATTTCCAAAGGCATGAGAACAGAGCTGTGCACTGGGAGCCTATGGACTGGACACAGCAAACAGGTGTGTTTTTTCAGGCCCTACAATGGCTTAAAAGTGTTTATGTTTCTTTAAATTAACATTTAAACATAGGAAGATACACACATATGCAATTCCAGGTTTTTGGCCTTTATTAACAAACAAGCACGTGAAGAATCATTTTGGCAATCCTGGGTTTATATCTCTAGTCACAGGGGTTACCCCCTTCAGTTCATTTAACTCCCCTCCTGGCCTACTTCACTAATTTATACTCCTTATCAGGCTTCTGGAGACATATGAGTTTTTGATTCCTCATACAGATGATAACAGAATGCCTTAAAGATGAACAGAGAGACAGCAAGGCCACTATAAGTTGGTAAGCGATATGAATGAAATTCACATCCATGCCACATGAAAACTGTCAGTTGTACCCTCTCAAAAAGGGAACACAAGAAGTTGTGAAATGGGGGAGCTGATGTACTGGGCTGGGTTATTCTTTTGAAAGCAGAGCAGAACTTTTCTACGATCAGGTCAGAGGGAGGCCATGGTAGAGTATGACAGGCATGGTAGATCAGGATGGAATTATAAAGAGAATACACAGGCTGGGTGCTGTGGCTCACACTGGTAATCACAACACTTTGGGAGGTGGAGGTGGGAGGACTGACTGAGGCTGGGAGTTTGAGATCAGCCTGGGCAACAGAGGGAGACCCTATCTCTACAAAAAACTTAAAAATTAGCCAGGAGTGGTGGTGCACATGTAGTTTCAGCTACTCAGAAGGCTGAGGCAGGAGGATCCCTTGAGCCCTCAAGTTTGAGGTTACAGTCAGCTATGATCTTGCCACTGTACTTTAGCCTGGACAACAGATCAAGACCTTGTGTCTAAAAAAAGAGACAGAGAGAGAAATACACCAAAGAAAGAACACAAGTGTGCTGTTGTGAATGATATACCAAGAGTGCTGGATCAAAAAGAGAATGCTGCTGGGCATGATGACTCACGCCTGTAACCTCACTGCTTTGGGAGGTTGAGGCAGCAGGATCATTTGGGGCCAGAAGCTGGAGACCAGCCTGGGCAAATAGTGAAACCCTATCTCTACGAAAAATTTTTTAAAAATTAGCCAGGTGTGATGGCCCACGCCTGTAGTTCTAGCTACTTGGAAGGCTGAGGCGGGAGGATTGCTTGAGCCCAGGAGTTTGAGGCAACAATGAGCTAAGATTGCACCAGTGTATTCCAGCATGGGTGACAGAGTAAAATCCTCCCTTTTTTTTTTAAAAAAAAGGTCTCACTCTGTTGCCCAGGTTGGAGTAAAGTGGCACGATCATAGCTCAATACAGCCTCAACCTCCCCAGGCTCAGGTGGTTCTCCCACCTCAGCCTTCTGAGCAGCTGGTACTACAGGTGCATGCTACCACACCCAGCTAATTTTTAGATTTTTTGTAGAGACAAGGTTTCGCCATGTTGCCCAGGCTGGTCTCAAACTCCTGGGCTCAAGCAACCTGTCTGCCTCAGCATCCCAAAGTGCTGGAATTACAGGCGTGAGCCACTGTGCACCCAGCCGACCCTATCTCTTAAAAAAATTTTTTTAAAAAGAACTCTATGATGCCAAGACAACTGAATTCTAGGATTGAACTCACCAGAACAATTTACCAGAATCTTCAATTCAAGGGCTAATTACTTCCAAAAGCCTTCCCCTTGCTTTTTTCTCTCCCTATTCTCCTTGTTCTATTTTATTTACAAACAGGTAAGAACCGAAAAGCCTGAATAACTAAGTTGTGAGTGCTATGACCTGGCCAGCTCTAGTGTTCCTGATCAGTCATCAGGACCTAATCAATGGGCCACCTGCCAAGTTCATCACCAGAGTAATTTTAATCTTGAACCAGGCCAGACTGAGGCAGCTCAGTAGTGAATCGTGCAAGACGGCACCTAACCCAAGCAGCTGCTTTCTGAGCACAACGTGTTCTATAGATAATGAACCACAGTTAAGTCAGCTATTCTCTCAGCCAGTTACGTGAGAAAAAGAAGACTAGAGTGAGGGTGCCAACATAGAGTGAGAGAAGCAAAATTAACCAAAGGGCATAAAGAACACTTTTCAATCAGTGTTTCATGTGCACACAGGGAAGACAAGCTCTGGGGCATCATCAACAGCAGATGGATAACCATGGTAAGTTAAAATTAAGTATTTAAGTATTTTTAAATGGACATCCTATAAATGTATTTGAATTACATTTTTACCTCAGCTCCTAACATGGATTGAATGGTTCTGACATAGGTCTCTATCCGGTCATCCTTTAGTTCAACCCAGGCCGGTGGGCTCATATGCATGCCAATGGGGCCAGCTATCTTCTCCAACATGTTGACCAGTTCTCGAGCCTGATCCATTGCTCTCTTTGGGTAAAAAAGTGCCCAGAAATGCATGGGGATCTAGGAACAACCACAAGCTACTTTTAATATTTCTCATAATTTAAACATCCCAATCTCACACTTAAGATTTCATTCTAGAGAATAAATTACTTTCACTCTCATTGCTTGAATCCTGTCTCATCTAACTCCTATTATTAACATGAATGTACATGATAAGAAAACTGGTGTAGTCTCAAAATGGAACGTTATACAGTAATGAGAATGGAAGAGCAACAACCACACCTAATAACAGGATGAAACTCACCAACACAAATTTAAGAAAAGAAGCCAGACATGGAAGAATATATCATCTGTGATTCCATGTATATATAAAGTACAGAAATTGTTGAAACCAATCTGTGCTATGAGAAGTCAGGACAGTGGTTACACTGGGTGTGTGAGGGGTAAGGGACAGGCAGTAACTGGGAGAATGGAGGGGGCTTCTGGAGTGTTGGTAAAGTTCTGCTTCTTAACCCTTGGTGTTGATTACACAGGTCTATTTAATTAAAAAAAAACTCATCAAGTTACACCTTTGTAAGTGTGCTTTTCATTTACATTTCAATAAAACATTTAAAAATATGCATTTTATATATCTGTTTATATATATCTGGCCACGAAGTCCATGTTGGTTAAAAATACAGAGAAGTAATTATACACCATATTGTACTTTGATACAAATAGCTAGTGTATTATTAGTTCCCTAGGTGAGGTACTGTTTTAATCTAATTTAATTTCTCTCATAGATACAAACACTCTCTAGATACTCCCAGGGAAAAAGAGGGGGAAAAGAGAAAGAAAGAAGGGAGAGTGGGTAACAGGTTAGCACTATGTGAATTACCATAGCAATTTATTTCCTTTTCCTAAGTTTGTGGTCAGGCAAAGGGCTTACCTCTAACAACTCATCAACTGCTCTGTTTGAAGGATCTCTGTTCAGTAGGTAATTTAGAAAGGGGATTCAATTGGCACTTTCTCTCAAAAAGAGGACTCTAGATCATTCCTGCTTCCTAATTTCCACACTTTGGGGAATACTGGTCCTCTCTTTATAACTTCAAAAATCACTTACAGTCAAGATGGAAGGGTCTCTGGTTACTTCCTTAACCCAGTTTAGTTCCTGAGATGTGATAAACGAAGTATTTTTTAAGTTAATTCTTTCCATTGGTAGAACACGTCCTTCAATCTAAACAGAAAATAAACCATCTATGACATGAGCCATTTCAAACACTATTTAGAAAAACACTGCTACTGCTCTATGAGGCCTGCTCAGCTCCACCACAGACACTTGTCCTATTAGAAATTTTGAGACTAGCAGAATAATAAAGTTTCTAGCAGCGAAAGTCTCTGTCAATAAAAACCTACATTTACATAGGTAAAATTATTATAGGTACTAGTCTTTCATTATTGAAGCTTCCACATGATATCCCAAGAGAGGGATTTGAAAACACTGTCTATTTAGAACCACTGAATAAAGGAAAACAATCTTTAAAAAATATTTTAAAGGGGCCAGGCACCGTGGCTCATGCCTGTAATCCTAGCATTTTGGGAGGCCAAGGCAGGTGCATCATCTGAGGTCGGAGTTTGAGATCAGCCTGACCAACATGGAGAAACCCCACCTCCACTAAATACAAAAAATTAGCTGGGCGTGGTGGCACATGCCTGCAATCCCTTACTCAGGAAGGCTGAGGCAGGAGAATCGCTTTTGAACCCAGTAGGCAGAGGTTGCAGTGAGCTAAGATCGCACCACTGCACTCCAGCCTGGGCAACAAGAGCAAAACTCCGTCTCAAAAAAAAAAAATTTTTTTTTAAGGGAAAAATTGAAAGGAGAATATTAAAGGCAAAATTTCTTAATAAGGCTGAACAAAGACTATTATTTTATATTATCCCAGACAAAAGCTGAGGGGAACAAGGCATAAATATAATAAAAAGTTTAAATTATAATAATCAATTAGACCTAAATGTCCCAAAATAGCAAGATAATTAAGCTAATAATACATTAGTATGATGGGCTACTTTGTGACCATTAGTTACTTCCCAACTACATGAAATATGATCCTATTTTTGCACAAATAGTGTATATACGTCACGAAAACTGAATGAGTCCAAACTTAGTAGTGATTACCTCTGGGAGAGGTATAATTATGTAGGACTTTTACTTTTCATAATTTCTACTGTTTGCTTTTAAAAAAACCATTTTGGGCCAGGCGCGGTGGCTCACGCCTGTGATCCCAGCACTGTGGAAGGCTGAGGTGGCTGGATCACTTGAGATCAGGAGTTTAAGACCAGCCTGACCAACATGGCAAAACCCCATATCTAATAAAAATACAAAAATTAGCCAGAGGTGGTGGCAGGCACCTGTAACCCCCAGCTACGTGGGAGGCTGAGGCATGAGAACCATTTGAACCTGTGAGGCGAAGATTGCAAGAAGCCGAGATCGCGCTGTTGCACTCCAGTCTGGGCAACACAGTGAGACTCTGTCTCAAAAAAGTATTTTTATCTAAAATAAAAATGTTGTAATGACTTTCCTAATAACGTAAAAGTCTACTATTATTATTATTAGAATTCTTATTTTTTTTTTTTTGAGACAGAGTTTCGCTCTTGTTGCCCAGGCTGGAGTGGAATGGTGCAATCTCGGCTCACTGCAACCTTTGCCTCCTGGGTTCAAGTGGTTCTCCTGCCTCAGCCTCCTGAGTAGCTGGGATTACAGGCATGTGCCACCACACCCGGCTAATGTCGTATTTTCAGTAGAGACAGGGTTTCATCACGTTGGTCAGGCTGGTCTGGAACTCCCAACCTCAGGTGATCTGCCTGCCTTGGCTTCCCCAAGTGCTGGAATTACAGGCATGAGTTACTGTGCCTGGCCTTTTTTTTTTCCCTGAAACGCAGAATAGACTTTTATAGGGCTGCACCTGGCTCTATAAAACTCTATTATAAAGAGTAAGGCACCCATATTAGCAAAGGTATAAGAGGTAGACTCATGCTCATGAAGCCAAAAAATGTTAATCCTTTCTAGCATAAAATTGGCAACATAAAATAAAAGTATGGCTGGGTGTGGTGGCTCACACCTGTAATCCCAGCACTTTGGGAGGCCGAGAAGGGCAGATCACTTGAGGTCAGGAGTTTGAGACCAGCCTGGCCAACATGGTGAAACCCTCTCTCTACTAAAACTACAAAATAAAAATTAGCTGGGTGTGGTGGCGCACGCCTGTAGTCCCAGCTACTTGGGAGGCTGAGGCAGGAGATTCTCCTGAACCCAGGAGGAGGCGGTTGCAGTGAGCCGAGATCACTCCATTGCACTCCAGCCTGGGTGACAGGGTAAGACTCTGTCTCAAAAAAAATTTTTTTAAATAAATAAATAAAATAGAAGTATTAAAAACATAAACGTCTCTAAATTATTTTACCTTCATAAATTGAACTTAAGAAAATAAACAAGGGGGCTGGGCGTGGTGGCTAACGCCTGTAATCCCAGCACTTTGGGAGGCTGACACGGGTAGATCATGAGGTCAGGAGTTCGAGACCAGCCTGGCCAACATGGTGAAACCCTGTCTCTACTAAAAATACAAAAATTAGCCAGGCTTGGTGGCACGTGCTTGTAATCCCAGCTACTTGGGAAGCTGAGGCAGGAGAATTGCTTGAACCCGGGAGGCAGAGGCTACAGTGAGCCGAGATTATGCCATTGCACTCCAGCCTGGCCAACAAGAGTGAAACCCCGTCTTAAAAAAAAAAAAGAAGAAAAAGAAAAAAGACAATAAACAAGGGCTGGCGTGGTGGCTCACACCTGTAATCCTAACACTTTGGGAGGCCAAGGTAGGCGGATCACTTGAGGTCAGGAGCTCGAGAGACCAGCCATGGCAACATGGTGAAACTCTGTCTCTACTAAAAATATAAAAATTAGTCAGGCATCATGGTGTGTACCTGTAATCCCAGCTACTTGGGAGGCTGAGACAGGAGAATCACTTGGAATCCGTATCAAAAAAATAAGTAACACATACAAAGATTTAGTTATAAGGATGTACATTGCATCGTTATTTTTTTAAATTACTCAATTTTTTTTGAGATGGATTCTCCTTCTGTCTCCCAGGCTAGAGTGCAGTGGCCCATCTTGGTTCACTGCAATCTCCACTTCCTGGGTTCAAGAGATTCTCCTACCTCAGCTTCCTCAGTAGCTGGGTTTACAGGCGCGTGCCACCACACCCAGCTATTTTTAGTAGAGATGAGGTTTCACCATGTTGGCCAGGCTCTTCTCGAACTCCTGACCTAAGGTGATCCATCCGCCTCGGCCTCCCAAAGTGCTGGGATTACACATGTGAGCCAGCATGCCTGCCCTGCATCATTATTTAGAATAGAAAAACACTAAATTCAATTTTAATGTAAAAGGATAGAAAATCGTTAATAAAAAGTATCAGGCAGCCATTAGAAATACTTAGAAAAATATGACCAGGCACAGAGGTTCACACCTGTAATCCCAGGACTTTGGGAGGCTGTGGCAGGCAGACTGCTTGAGGTCAGGAGTTCGAGACCAACCTGGCCAACATGGTGAAACCCCGACTTTACCAAAAAAATACAAAAATTAGCCAGGCATGGGGGCAAACGCCTGTAATCCCAGCTACTCAGGAGGCTGAGGTGGGAGAATCACCTGAATCTAGGAGGCAGAGATTGCAGTGAACTGAGATTGCACCATTGCACTCCAGCCTGGGTGACAGAGTGAGACTCTGTCTCAAAAAAAATAAAAATGAAAAACTTAGAAAAATATTAAATGACATGGACAAACATTCAAAATATACTGACAACAAAAGGAAAGTCACATAAATATTGCACATGTGTGTCTGTACGTGTGCATATACCATCACATTTTCTGGTTTACCTTATGTACATCCTTTTGCAGACGGAGCCCCCAACGCATCAGTTCATTGGTGGCTGCCTCGTTCTTTGCAATTCTCTGCAGCAAGCATTCCAGAGCACTATGGTGTTGCTTGGGGCTCAGGTTGATTTGCTGGGCCAAATCCTAAACATAATTAAAATAAAGATAACTTATAAAAATAAAGATAACTTCACCAACATGAAGTTAAATAAACCCCAGTATGTCTAAAATGTTTCTCTTTCCCATTGAAGTCGGCCGAAATTTTCAAATATCTTCAAGGACTTACTAAATATATCTCTTAGGAATGTGAATGTGATATAAGGTTAAAAATCGACTGAGAGGATGAGGTGGGTGGATCGCTTGAGCCCAGGTGTTTGAGACCAACACGGGCAACATGGGCAAGACTCTGTCTTTGTAAAAAACTTTTAAAAATTAGCCAGGTATGGTGGTGCATGTCCTGTACTCCTGGCTACTCATGAGGCTGGGGCAGGAGGATCACTTGAGCCCAAGAGATTGGGGCTGCAGTGAGCCACAATTGTGCTACTGCGCTCCAGCCTGGGCAACACAGCAAGACACTATCTCCACACACACACACAAAAAAATCGAATAATAAAAGAATTTTAAACGTCATTGACGCTTTCTCTTTCGTGATGTAGAGATTTTATTTCTTTCTCAAACCATGTTTTAACTTTAAAATTCCTAAAAAAGCCTATGAAACAGGAACAAAGGGGCTTGATTATACTTATTTAAAATGTGGGGCCTGGCACACTAGCTCATGCCTGTAATCCCAGCACTTTGGGAGGCCAAGGCGGGAAGATCACTTGAGCCCGGGAATTTGAGACCAGCCTGGGCAACATAGCGAGACTCCATTTGTATAATAAAACAAATACTGAAAAAGAAATAAAATTTGGGAAAAAATGTGGAAAAAATGCCATGGGCGAGGCATCCAGCCAAACAAAATAGAAAACCATATTCAGTCTAACACTATATGCCATAGTATACTAGTCATTTAATGTTACCAGAAGTCACTTTTTTACCCAGAACTTGTCATGGTGTTTGACTCATTAATAGGTACTTGCTAAATATTTATTGTTGAGTAAAATCTGACAGGTATGCAGAAAGATTCTGAATCACATAAGTGAGTTCTTTCTTTATTCTTCTGAGATGAACAAATTGCACAGCTGTTATTCCCTCTAAGGCAGTCATTAGGGTCAGTAAGTCTATAGGGCTATATAGATATAGCTCTCTGATCATAAAGTCATCAGGCAACTAGGAGTTGTAAGGAAAAGGCCTTGACCTTCAAGGTAGGTAAAAGCAGAATTGGAAGGTAAACATGAAATAAATCTCTCACAGGAATTTGGAGCTTCACTTCAAGCTCTTTACAATGTTACTAAAAACTTTATGTGGCATGTGGGTCTAAGACAGACAAGGACTAGAAAGTGAGGCAGCAGAGAGAAGCTCAAGTGTGGACAGCCCCAGACAGAGTGTGGCAGGCTGGTTCTTGGGGTCTGGACTCACGCCGCGTAGGTGCTAGCTGCTGTACCCATCTCTGCTACTCAGCCCTGCCCACAGGAGCTGAGACCAACACCCCGAGGACACTCAGGGACCCACAAGATAAACTTCTATCCTCATCGCCTGACTTGTTTGCTTTTTGCCTCATTATCTTCTCCATGCCTTCAAATAAACTGAAGTCTTTAGAAACATTACAATAACTCAGCGATCTCAAAGAACCTCATTCATGGTCCTATGACCAGTTTACAATTATCCACCTGACTGCTGAGGATGAAGACAGAGTTATAATCCAGTCCCTCTACTATTCTAATGACCTTCAAAAGGAAGTTCTGATACGCTTTTTTACATCTTGTGTGGGAAGGTATCATGTTTCACAGAGGAGAAAACTGGAGCCTAGAAGAATGGACAGGCCCAGGTTACAATGCAAGCCAACATCAGAGTTGGAACGTGGCTCGGTTCTAACTCAAACTGCTAACCAAAAGGCTGCCTCACAAAGTGGGCATTTTCGGCTGAAAACACAGGACTCCGACCTTCATGGCTCTGAAGTCCTTCTTCATCTTCTCTGGGATTCCAGTCATAAAAGAAAGCTCAGGCAGCAGCAGGATTTCCCCTTTTAGCAGCTTTGAAAAGAGAACGAAGAGGGAAAATAAGGCAGTACAAGAGGCTCATGTTCCCCCGACCCATACAGGACATGCCATGGCCAGGGCTGCTCCTGCAGTGATAAACCTAACACATTAAGGAGTAAAAATCCTGGAGAAGAAAGCAGTGAAATGCTAGAAGTATTTTATCCTTTCTCCCTCAGTCACTATACATATAGCCTGTTGTATCAGGTCAAAGGAAAAATATTGAAACTGTCAAAGGAGAGTAAAAACTAGAAAAAAAAAAATCTGTCCTTCTTGGGCCTCAAGACAATGTTAAGACAATGCATCCTATCGCTAAGCAGTGTGCCTCAGTCTCACTGTATCCTACTGGTCTTCAGTCTTCATATTTAAAACAGGAGAGTCAGGTGACAAGGCATCTTCTTAAGCCTCTGGCCCTGTTAAAATAAATGTCTAGGCCAGGCGCGGTGGCTCACGCCTGTAATCCCAGCACTTTAGGAGGCCGACACAGGCGAATCACGAGGTCAGGAGATGAAGACCATCCTGGCTAACACAGTGAAACGCCGTCTCCACTAAAAGTACAAAAAATTAGCTGGGCATGGTGGCGGGCTCCTGTAGTCCCAGCTACTCGGAAGGCTGAGGCAGGAGAATGATGTGAACCCAGGAGGCAGAGCTTGCAGTGAGCTGAGATCGCGCCACTGCACTCCAGCCTGGGCAACACAGTGAGACTCTGTCTCATAAATAAGTAAATAAACAAATGTCTATACCTTTCCTCATGGATTCAGAGTTTTAATCTTCCTTCACAAGAAATTCTCCTTAACCCTTTAACCTAATAGCTTATGTGGATATTTAGTTCTGCCTAGTAAGGACTTCTAAAGCAGATCTTACCAGTGTGAGGGGTGCCTCTGGCTAGATGAGACAGACAAACACTTGCACAGCTTTCCGTAACCACACTACGATCACTACACCACAGCTCCCACAAAGCCATGAGGACGGCTAAAAGCAGCTGACAGGATGAAGAACTTAAGCTGGAAGTGTAGGTCTGACAGTCCTACTCACCATCCCATGATCATTCTGTCTCTCACTGGGCCTGTGAATCAGCAGTGGCTGGTCCTCTTCCTTAATTGTGATCCCATAATTTTTGCTAAAGCAGAGTACACGCAGGAAAAAATTTCAGAAGCGGCATCACTACTCTTAGAGCACCATAGTCTGAGTCTCTTAACCAGTACTGAGGTATATAATTTGCATAACACCCTTGTCAAGGAGCCACTAGAAACCAATCATAATATATTTATAACCAGAAAAAGTAGGCTCAAATTATGTTGCAATTAAATATAGGAGAAATAAGGCTAAAGGTTCAGATTTAACATCAGGCTAAAGGCCTTAGGCAATAGAAACATGAAATGGCAGTCAAATGATTAATGACTTGAATTTAATCTCTCCAGACTTCTAATGAAATCAGAAAAAGAAATACAATTCAAAGTCTGAGATTAATTTATATAGTAACTTCCAAATTACTAAAAGAATTGAAGCTGTAACGGCAGCATACTGAGGTCAAATCCCACAAACAAACTCATTCAATCTTAGACACATTACTAATTCAATTATTCTGAAAGTGTCAAGTGGTATGCTATTGCAGAACTCAATATCCTGCTGGAGAACGTGGATTACATCCAACCCCCACCCTGAGGCCCAAACCCAGTCTCTTCTTGCTACCTGTAGTATTCTAAGAATGTGATCTCTTTCCCATCAGACATCGTGAAGCTATCCTTTGGGGTCTTATTCCAATCCACATCATCAATACGATAGGTACGATTGTTATATCGGGTGATAACAATATTGCCAACCAGAAGCTTAGTACACTCATCCTGGAAGTGTTCTTTATTCTGCTGATAAATGGCATGCCTTTGGAAAGAGACAAAAGACTTTTGGATCACCGTGTATATCCAGAACAGTATGAAAGGGATAGGGGATCAAGTAATTGAGGAATCTAATCACAGCTATATAGCACCAGAAGGCTCCAGTTGTGTTAAAACATGGGACTCTTGGCCAGATGCAGTGGCTCACGCTTGTAACCCCAGCATTTCAGAAGGCAGAGGCAGGAGGACTGCTTGAACCCAGAAGTTGGAGACCAGCCTAGGCAATATAGTGAGACCTTATTTCTTTGGCAGGGGAGGGGAGGAAAAAGCTTAAGAGGACCTGAATTGCAGGAAATAGAGAATATAGGCCTACCAGGTATGATGGCTCACAGCTATAGTCCCAGCTATTTGAGAGGCTAAGGTGGGAGAACTGCTTGAGCCCAGGATATTGAGATCAGCCTGGGCAACATGGCAAGACCCCCATCTCTAAAAAAATTAAAAAATTAGCCAGGTGTGATGGCATACCTTGTAATCCCAGATACTCCAGAGACTGAGTGAGGTGGGAAGATAGCTTGAACCCAGGAGTTTGAGGCTACAGTCAGCTATGACAGCATCACTGCACTCCATCCTGGGTGACAAAGGCCCTGTCCCTAAATTAATTAAAATTGATTTTTAAAAATTTCATACTTCGAAATACTCATCAGATCATAGAAAGTTGCAAAATCTGGATGTAGAGTCTCATGTACAAAACTGCCATTGCTATAATATCAATAACTAGGCTACAGATCTTACTCCATTTTCATTGTTATTTACATACACTGGTGTATTTGTATGTGTATACAGTTTTCTCTCATTTATAGGTTACCACAATCAGATACCAAACTGTTGCATGTCACCACCAAAGGACTATTTCCTGCTGCCCTTTATATTCACACTCCCCCTCCTTCCCTAGATCTGGTTAACTACCAGCCTATTCTTCAGCTTTGTCATTTTGAGACTGCTATAGAAATAGAACCAAAAAGTGTGCAACCTTTTGAGATTGAGAAAACTTAATCTGGGGGTAGGGATGGGAACCCATGGCAAGCCACCTACAAGTGGCAATGGAGAAAAGCAAAGTTCTGTTAGCCTAGATTTGTAGTCTAAGTTGGGGTGAGCAGTGGATCAATCAGAAATTTAAGGGCTAAATCCTGGAAACCATCTATGTTTACAAGAGAGCCAAGAAATCTCAGCTAAGAGTTAAAAGCCAAAAAAAATGGGAGAATTACCTCTAATTTTGAATGCATTCTTCAATCTACACACAGATCCATTAGCAGAGATGGAAGCCTTATGGGGTCATGGGGTTTGAGTATAACCGCTCTCCAAATCATTACCCGAATGACTAAGCTCTACAGACAAGGGGGTGATCGCTAGGAAGCCAGGTTAAAATATGATAATAAGGAAAAACCGAGTAAAGACATCAGCAGCTGCACGCCACAGGGATAACAGACTCTTAGTCTAAATATGGATGGTCAGTTTAAAAAAAAAAAAAAAAGAAAGAAAAATAGGCTGGCTGCAGTGGCTCACACCTGTAAACCCAGCACTTTGGGAGGCTGAGGTGGGCGGATCACGATGTCAAGAGATAGAGACCATTCTGGCCAACATGATGAAACCCCGTCTCTACTAAAAATACAAAAATTAGCTGGGCATGGTGGTGCACGCCTGTAGTCCCAGTTACTCGAGAGGCTGAGACAGGAGAATCACTTGAACCAGGAGGCGGTGATTGCAGTGAGCCCAGATCATGCCACTGCATTCCAGCCTGGTGACAGAGCGAGACTCTGCCTCAAAAAAAAAAAAAAAAAAAAAAAAAAATCAGAAAAATAAACAATACAGACTTGACAAAATGCATTAAACAGAAAGAAAAATAAGAGATCTCCAAATATTTGAAAATTACAATACACTCTAAACAACCCACAGATGAAAGAAAGCACAAGAGAAATGAGAAAATATCTTGAACTGAAGGAAAATGAAAAATCAGACAATAAAAAAATCAGGGGCTGCAGCTAATGCAGTGCTCAGAGGAACATTTGTGCCTTAAATTACATGAGAATGAAACACAGAACATACACATTTATGATCAAATAATAACTGACAAAGGTGTCAAGGTCAATCAGTAAGGAAGGACGATCTTTTCAAGAAATAGTGTTGTGATAATTAAACATGTAACAAAAGAAACTCAGACCGTTACCTGACATCACCTGTAAAAGTTAACTCAAAATGGATTGCAGATCTAAATATGACTCGAAACTATAAATCTAAAAAAAAACAGAAAATCTTTGCAATCTCGAGTTAGGCAACGATCTCTTGGATATGACACCAAAACCAAAACCTATGAAAGAAAAAGTATAAATTAGACTTCATCAGAATTAAAAATGTCTACTCCTTAAAAGGGACCACTGGACCAGGCATGGTGGCTCACGCCTGTAATTCCAGCACTTTAGGAGGCTCAGGCAGGTGGATCACTTGAGCTCAGGAGTCTGAGACAAGCCTGGGGAACATAGTGAAACCCCATCTCTACTAAACATACAAAACAGCCAGGTGTGGTGGTGCATGCCTGCAGTCCCAGCTACTCAGGAGGCCAAGGCATAAGAATCGCTTGAACCCGGGAGGCAGAGGCTGCAGTGAGCTGAGAAGGCGCCACTGCACTCCAGCCTGGGTGAAAAAGTGAGACCGTCTCAAAAAATAATAATAATAATAAATAATAAAATAATAATAAATAAATGGGACCACTGGCCAGGTGTGATGGTTCACAACTATAATCCCAGCACTTTAGGAGGATCACTTCAGCCCAGGAGTTCAAGAACAGCCTGGGCAATGTGGTGAAACTCCATCTCTACAAAAAAAAAATGTTTTTTAATTAGCTGGGCATGGTGGTGGACGCCTGTAGTCACAGCTACTCAGGAGGGTGAGGTGGGAGGATTGCTTGAGCCCTGGAGGCCAAGGCTGCAGTGAGCTGTGATTACACACTGCACTCCAGTCAACAGAGCAAGACTCTGTCTCAAAAAGAAAAAGTCACCTTTAAGAAAAATGCAAAGACAAGCTACTAAATGGAAGAAAATATGTGCAAATCATGTGATACATGCATATCGTTCAGCTGATAAAGGATTTGTACTTCTTATATGTAATGAATTACTGCACAGCTCAGTAAAAACAACAACCCAAATATTTAAAAATAGGCAAAAGATACAAACAGATACTTCACCAAAGCAGACAAATGAATGGGAAGTACGCACAGGAAAAGATGCTCTACATCATTATTCACTAGGAAAATGTAAATCAAAACCACAATTGGATACCACTGTACACTGGTTAAAATTTCTAAAATTAAGACTGACTAAACGAAGTATTGATGAGAATGTGGAACAACCTGAATTCTCAGGCACTGCTAGTGGGAATGTAAAATGGTACAGACACTTTGGGAAAGAGTTTCTTATAAAATTAAACACACACCTACTATATGACTTGCCCCTCCGCTCCCAGGTATCTACTAAGAGAAATCAAAGTGTATGTCCACACAAAGACTTGTACACTAATATTTATAGCAGTTTTATTTGTAACAGCCAACAGCTGGAAAGAACCTAGAAACAATGGGTGAATAAACTGTGGTAGAGCCACAAAATGAAACACTACCCAGCAATTAAAAGGAATGAACATTTACAACATACAACAATGCAAATGCTTTCAAAATAACACTGAGTGAAAGAAGCCAACTGAAAAACAATAGCAGGCAGGCAGGCAGGTGGGTGGGTGGGCTGTCGGGTGGGTCTTCTTCCTTCCCCCCTCTTATGCCTATAATCCCAGCACTTTGGGAGGCCGAGCCTAGGTAGGAGAAGTGCTTGGGCCCAGGAGTTCGAGACCAGCCTGGGCAACATAGTGAGGCCCCATCTCTATCAGGGGAAAAAAAAAAAAAAAAGTATATAGCTGGGCGTGGTGGCAGGCACCTGTAATCCAAGCTATGCAGGAGAATCGCCTGAACACGGGAGGTGGAGGCTGCAGTGAGCCGAGGTCGCACCACTGCACTCCAGCCTGGGTGACAGGAAGAGAGTCCGTCTCAAAAAAAAAAAAAAAAAAAGGTTACAAAAGAAACACAAAAAAGCACAAGAACATAGTGATTCCATTTACATAAAATTCTAGAAAATGCAGAATAATCTCTAGTGACAGAAAGCTGACCAGTATTTGCTGCCCATGGGGTGCAGAGGAGGAACAGAAGCCGGAAGAGGCTTCAGAGACACCTAAGTACATTTTGGGGCAATGGCTATGTCCATTTTCTTCACTGCAATGTTTCACAGGTGAAATATATCTACTATATATACATATATCAAAACTCATCAAACTGTATACTTTAAATGTGTGTGGGTTTTTTATGGATGTCAACTGTACCTTTACACATCTGAAAAAAGAAATAAATTAATGGAACAGAATAAAAGATCCGGAAATAGACTAAAACAGATTAACACTAAGTGTAGAATAAGGTGGTATTTCAAATTTGTAAGAAAAAAGATTACTGACTGGGCACAGTGGCTCATGCCTGTAATCCTAGCACTTTGGGAAGCTGAGGATGGTGGATCACCTGAGGTCGGGAGTTCAAGACCAGTCTGACCAACATGGAGAAACCCTGTCCCCACTGAAAATACAAAGTTAGCCAGGTTTAGTGGCACATGCCTGTAATCCCAGCTACTCGGGAGGCTGAGGCAGGATAATCGCTTGAACCCAGGAGGCGGAGGTTGTAGTGAGCCAAGATCATGCCATGGCACTCCAGCCTGGGTAACAAGAGCGAAATTCTGTCTCAAAAAAAAAGAAATAAGATCATTAAAAAAACGGGTTAGCCTGCTAGCCAATTTTAGAAAATTCTTTATGAATTTAAGATTAATATCTAAGAAACTAAACAATAAAATTAGATGAAAACATTCATATACTCCTAGGAATAAAATAAAATTCCCACAAACTGGAAAAGATGGATTACTCTGTCACCATAGTAACAAGTAGCCATAAGAATGAGTTTTAAGCCTG